TAATGTTGGTATAAATAAAAGACTAGAACGTTTTTTAATGTATTTTATTTAAAAAATAAAAGCTATTTTGAAAATACCATTATAAGTTATTCTGCCATCCTTGCGTTTGCAAAACTATTATTGATTTCATTATGAATACTTCTTGTATAAGGAATACAGGTTTTCAATGCCAAAGGCAAGTAGGGTGGCCATCATAGAGGCCATTCCGGTTTTTTGCTACTCTGTCCTCTGTTGATACAAAACCAGACACCTTTATGTCCTCTATTTTTCTCTTCAGGACATAAATAGAGGACATAAAGGCATCCGGTTTTGTATCAATAGAGGACAGAGGATAACCAGACTGTCCTCTATGATGGTCACCCTAAAAGTAAGTAATGTATCAATAACTCTGTGCAATGTAGTCAGATGAAGGTTTTGTTTCTGCAGCAGAAGCTTTAATATTCTCTATTTTGTAATTTACATTAGAAATGCCACAAGCCTCACAGTTAACATAACTAGAAGCCTTATGTTATACCAACCCAACTTCATAATGGATTTATTGTGATCAATAGATTTACTTTTGTAAATCTAGAATTACACCAAAGTAAATGAAAACAGAATGTATCCACATATAGCTAGTTCTGAGAGTCATTTATAAAAATAAGAAAAGCAAGGTCTTTTGGATCACATTTTACATAGTGCAAAATAAATTATGTAAAATAAATTAATAAAAATAATTACATCAGAAATTACTGTAAATTATAAACAAGAGCAGAATAGAAAGATAATTTATTAAAGAGGGAAAATAAGGTAAGTGTTAAAACTAAAAAATAAAAACAGAAGGAAAAATGGAATTTAAAGATATGGTGATTCTTGGGCTGTTAGTTCAGTTTAGTTATACACTGAATATGGAGAATAGAATAGAATAGATTAACTTAGGGTCTACAGCCATTAAAATGTATTCACTACTCTTATAACAGACTAGAGTTTCATTATGTAGTTACATATACTGTGCTGATTACTGGCACATATGAGAGAAAAAAAAATCAAACCACTTTAACATACAAAATATAAATATCCATTCTACATTGTTGTGTGACGTTAGATGGAACACCAACCCCCACCCTCAAAAAGCTACTTGCTAATGCAGGTTCCAAAACATTGTATTAAGTACAACTCTTTCAGAGGTCTTCATAAGTTCGTATTATATGAGTAATAATAAGAACAAATAATCAAAGGGGTTTTTTTCATCTTTCAAAGGACAATATTAAATGTTCTATGTGAACATGGGACCCAGTAAAGATGCTTTGTACTGTATTTCCAGGCAGATAAATGAAGTTTTACTCTAATTCCACTTTTCCTTTCTATTGTCAAAGGAATAGGAATGTTGTAGAAATGAAATGTATGAAGTGCCTAGCCATGTTGTAAAATTGGTGATTAGATTATTTGTTTATGTAAGCCACTTGAGCCAGGCTCATAAGTCAGTTAAAGAAACTCTCAGTATGGGCTCAGTTAAAAAAACAAAAACTGAAGACTGCATTCATTTGGTAGACCAGCACCTGACGCCAAGGATTCCACTTGAGGCCAAAAAGGAATTTTAGTCATTGCTATGACTAAGAAAATATAGATTGCTTCTTCGTTAATTAATAGTAATTTAATGTCTGAAGCAATATCAAAAAGATAACTGTTGTATCAGGGACTGTATCCTTTTCACATTGGCATATATGGTCCATGGGCCAGAGCTAGACAATGTAGCCATGTCATATGGCCTCCTAGAGCAAGGTGAGCAAAATACAGATAGCAGGTCACATCTGGCCTGCCAGGCAATACCATCTAGCACATGGGGTCCCTCCATAAGCCCCCTGTAAGCCATGGCCCCAGGCTGCCCCTCTGCAAGCTGGGGCCTCCATGCAGGAGGTGAGGCTCTGTTTGCTAAGCAACCCCTCTCCCCAACTTGGCTTGTCCCGCCCCCAGCCCTGAGCTAGGGGGCATTAGAGACAAGCCTCTGCCTGGCAGAGCTTTTTCCTGATCACCCCAAGGCTATTTCCAGACTCCCTGCTTGCAAGACTTGGAATTCAGGTATGGGTCCCACTGGGCCAGGGCCTGGGACTTCCACTGGAGGAAAAGGGGTGGGAGTGCAGGGAGCTGTGCACTATGGGGCTGGGCTGGGCTAGCCCTGCATAGTGCATGCTGCAGCAGCGCCAGAGCAGCGCATTATGGAGCTGGGTGGGGCTGACCCTGCATCCTGCTACCACATGCAGCTGTGGAATGGGGTGGGAGCATGGGACCTGCGTTGCTGTGGGGCCAGGCTGGCTGGCCCCACATGCTGCTGACATGTGCAGCCAGGGATTTGGGTGGGAGCTGTGTATTATGGGCTGGGTGGAGCTGGCCCCACACACTGCTATCACCCGTGGCCAGGGACTGGGGTGGGAGTACAAGGAGCTGTGTTCTATGGGGCCGGGTGGGGCTGGCTCCACTCACTTGCACCACATGCAGCTCCAGGGACTCGCACACTCCAGGGACTCCAAGGACCCCTCCAGACATACTCACACCCTTCCACACACTCCACCCCCCACCATACCCCCAACACACACCCACTCCCTCCCACAGGCCCCCACACACTCCCAACCTCCCAGCCATCACCACACACCTCCACCCCAATCACATGCCCTGCACTCACACCTCTCCACATCCAGCCCCAATATACCCACACCCCCAATGCCCAACATCCCATCATATACAATATACAAGAGGCTGTATTTTGAGCTATTATGCAATCTCTAGATACACTATGCAAACACATAGATCAAAACTTTTTTAAAAATAAAATTAAAACAAGTTATAGTAGATTTTTGGGGGTGGGTTTTTTTTTTAGTCTATAATGTGTTTTTTTTCCAGTTTCAAGATGGCATCCCCCCCCCCCCCAAAAAGAATCACTTTCAGGGCAAGAGAGGGATTTCTGGTGGCAAAGGTCAGGGGTTAGAGGGAGGACTTTTGGTCCCAAAATGGTGACTGGGGGGAAGGCACCTGTATGGGGGCAGGGCTACCCTTGCAGCACTTGACAGCTCACCAACACTCATTAAGTGGCCTTCCAGCCACACTAATTGCCCACACCTGTCTTAGAAGGACTAGGAATTCAGAGGTGTAGCAAGTGGATGTTGGGCCTACCACCTAAATTGAGAGACAGCCCCATCTCCAGGTAACAAGAAAGTAATTACAGGCCCACCTGGGAGGACTGAGCCAGCTGATGATGAATAATTAGCTGGCCCAGAGGAAGTTAAAAGCTCCCAGGGAAGAGAGCTACATGGGGAGAGAGAGAGAGATGGCTGTGAAGCTAGAGGCTGGAGCAATGAGCCAGGGTACTCTCTCCATGTCTGGGAAAAGGCCACAAGGTTTGGTTTACCCCTTTATTGTTTGTATTTGATATTTGCAGACTCACAGTTTATGCTGTGTTCTGTGGACGGGTTCACCCAGGGAAAGACTGTGTGGTACAACCAGACAACCTGCTACAAACTCATCATAGCCACCACTACTGTCCACCCTGTGGCAGAGGCAGCGTCCCAGCCCCTTCCACGCTCCTGCAGGAACAACCATGTTGGCCAGAGACTCACCTGTCCAGGTCTGGATACACAGCATAGCCCTGGTGTGCAGGGGAATGCAATCCCAGGGGACAGCAATCCCAGGAGCACAACAACACATGCTCTAGAGAACCATCTCTGATTGGCCCGTGATAAGATGTGGGCAATTTAAAGGGAGGATGCTAAGGAGAGCTTAGTGTTTGGCATCCCCAGTGGAGAAAATGTCACCGGAGATGACAGGATGACAAGCCCCAAAGAAGAAGACCTGTGTGCTGGAACCTTGGAAGCTGCCAAGACTGGGACAAGGCCTAGGCAGGGACAACTCTCTCCCCTGGAAAGATATGTAAATGGGGACAGGGAAAGGGACAGAATGGGTCTTCCTCTGCAGAAGTCCAAACTAATCTCCTAGGGGAAGAATACCTGGGGGAAACAGTTGATATAAACCAGACAAAGTAGAAGGGAGCTGAGACAGCAAGTGAGCTGGTCTGCAGGGAGTAGTGGGGACCAAGGAGAAAACTGAGGCAGCCAGCATAGAGAAAAAAAGTTATATACGTCCTGCTGGTGAGAGAAAAACCGAGCAGAACCATGCTGCCTTAGAGAAAGGGAAAAAAGATCCAGGAGGTATACCCACAAATTTTGAATTATTAAAATAATACAGGGAGAAGAGAACCACAGATAAGAAGCCTTCTCTAGTATTTAACTTTTCCATATCAGTGGGTGAGAAGATTTGATTTAAAATTAAGAGGAATCCTACATCCATTTTGCAGAAAAGAACAATTGAGGGCCAAAGTCAGAGGGCCTGGGGCCTGCAGGGGAGGAACTACTAATGAGTTCATGGAGATAATTCTTACTTGAGCTCATGAGGGAAGTCATATTATGATGCAACTGGCAAAGAAAGAAGACAAGCCACCGTAAGTTAAAACCAGGGCGAGAGAAAGACCAGGATAGGCTCTGCTCAACATCCATGGAGAATGGTGACTATCCACCCAGGAGGAAAGGGGCAGGCTATAGCGGATGTGAAGCCCTCCAAAAGAACTGCCACAAGGTCAGACAGACTGGCAAGGCAAAACATTCATCCTCCCGAATATATATTTCCCATCAAGATGTAGCAAGTGAGTGGGAGAGAGAGATGGAGATCAATATAACCTGTTGCAGTTGCAAAGTGGAAGAATATGACCCACTCACACACCCCAACACCACATCCAAATCTGGCTCACAAGGAGGCCTAAGGTCAAAATCCAGCCTAGGGGGATTGGGTGAGTTTGACACCCCTGCTTTATAAAGTTCATTTTTCATGTTCAATTTCTAGAAAAGAAAAATTTAGGATTACAGTGGAATCTGAATTATATTTACTAATAAATATTTATCAGACAAGACATCCAAAATTATATGGAATGCACACAGTAGTATTTATTAAGGTGTATTATGCCACAGGATGTTTTTCTAGATAGTTGCAAGTTTGTGAAGAAAAGCTGCATATAGTTTTGTTCCCTCAATGAAATTGTATCTGTAAGAAAACAGAGGAAACAGAGCAACTTAACTATACAGCATGGGAGTTCTTCAGACACACATATACTTGCTATGCCTCCAGGAGCCAGGATCATGGCTGGAGTCCCTGGCCACACCCCCTCCTTAGTCTCTGGCCCAACTGAGGGCGAGAGACTAAGGGGGTGACGTGTAGGGTGTGCACGTGGGTGCCCCCCCTGCGTGTGGCAGTTCACCCCCTGTGGGCGTGCACGTGGGTGCACCCCCTGCGTGTGGCAGTTCACCCCCTGTGGGCAGTCACCACTCGCCACCCCACCACTGGCACCGCCAGCAACATCTGCAGGAGGTCCATGATCGCCCCTGGCCACCGCTGCCGCTGCTGGCAGCATCTGTGGGGGGTCGCCAACCCATGGTTCATGCTTGCCAACCCCCTCCCCACTACCGACAGTGCTGGCAACGTCTGCGGGTGCTTCCTGCTCACCGCCACCAGAATCCCGCCACCATGCTCCCGCTGCTGCCGGGGCAGCCATGCCCCTGCTAGCCGCTGGGCGCACATGCCATTCATGGACAAGGGATGCCTGCACCAGGGTTGGCTCTGCCTCTCAGAGCTGGGAGCCAAGAGCATGGCTGAGGGGCTTTCCTCAGCCAACCCAGAGACTGAGGACAGGGCATGGCTGGGGGACTCCAGCCATGCTCCTGGCTCCCAGCTCCAGGAGATGGAGCTTCCATTAAACTCCCAGTGAAACCAGTGTCAATCTTACATACACACTTAATTGTGAGAAAAATACAAGCCTTGTGTCTTACCTCACCTGTCTGAACAGAAGCTGGAGATTTGTATTCAGATTTCAAATAAAATGTTTTTGGTCTACAATTAATAAGCTAACTATTTAATCATTTTTATTCAACTATTGCTGAACATCAAAATAAATGGCAATGGATTCCCTTGCAAGTAGATCTTTATTTCACTGAAGTGCTGTGTCTCTATTTCAGCTTGAATTATTCACCACATTTACCTCTCAGTTGCTTCTAGTAACTCATATGTAATACAAGTATTTATCACAGGTTCGCTAAAACAAAACATTCACTTGCTACCGTGCATCTTTTATCAAACTATTATTCCTTTCATAACACAGGAAATTCTATGTAACCAAGTATACAGATATTGTGATAAAACCAATGTCGACTTAATTTCACCGCTCTTAATCATTAGAACTGCAAAATAAATGTTGAAATGAATCAACAATGCTGTGTAAAGGGATTTTCAACTTGGATTTTTTAACTGACTAATTCTTAAAAATTCCTAGTAGATAATAGCTCAGGTGTTTAAACAATTCTGGGTGGGACAAATTCTTTTTTTGGAGGGAGGAACCCCTATATATACACATCGGAGTTATACATGTAAATTTGAAAAAGTGGTGTCAGTGCAAGGTTCTCTTAAAATGCTAGCAAGGGGTTTTCATAAAATTATATTTTAAAAAAATCACTAACATTCAAAGTAGCTTATTTCCCCCTAAATTAAAATGTTCATCTTCATGATTCTTAAGGAAGAGAGTAAAAATACCTGCTGATCTTTTCATCTTGCCCATGCGTAGCATCATCCGGTCCTCCTATTCCTAATAACATTATACTCTTTCCAGTCAATTCCTCGAAATATGTGACAATTGGAATTGTCCCACCTACCCGGATCATGTCAGGCTCTTTGCCAAACACTAGGGAATGGAGAAAACAATATATGCTTTATAAAAATTAGCCTGATCTTTAAAAGCTAAATGTAATGCCCTTTCTGCCTATATATCTGGGTATTTTAGCACATTGTTCTACTACAAGACTTGTTTCTTACCATTTTAATATAAGAATATCTCATAGATGTTTTCTCTGTCTTGTAGAAAACCTGTTCAGATCTGATGTTGTTAAGCCTGGGTCCAAATGATCGACTTTTTATCTCTGGGGTGTGCCCATTAAATAATTTTAGATCCTGAGCCTACAAATGACTGGACAACAGACCCTGGCTACCATCTGAAGTGTTGAAGCCAGTAGTACTGAGGCATTAGTATTCAACCAAGTATTGAGCAGCTTTAAATAGTCAAATTACTGAAAAGTGATACAAGCGATCAGTGAAATAGTTATGTGTATAATATATGATCATTCAGTACACAGGAATATTAATGAAATATGTAATGACCAGGGATCCACGTTTTCTGTTCACCACAGAAAGTTCTCCTTCTCTTTTTAAGGAGAAAAATGCAGGAAACCACAGGTTTCCCCTTGCAGGGTGACAGAGTTTCAGCCTTCAAGGGACTGCTTGAAGCTGGGAGGACCATGAGGAAAGCCATCAGCCAGTGGTGCCACCTGCATGTATGCACACACATGCACATGGCAGCTAGGCAGCAGCAAAGTGCAGGTAAGTCAGGGGCAGTTGGAATTGAGGCCCTCACAGTGAGGGAAGGAGTTGGGCAGGACTGGGGCTGGAGTTCACTGCCCAGCCAAGGTGGTACATGGAGCCCAGGGCTGGGACAGGAATTTGTGGCCATGAGGCCCAGGAAGGCAATGGGACAGAGCCAAAGGTGGCTTGTCCAGGGAATGGCAGGGGGCCAGCTCCCACCACTGTGCGTGCTCCCAGAGAGGGAGACTTGGAGGGGCATGTGCCCCCCAGATTTGTATGCTGGGCAGGGGTGGGTATGGGCTGACCACTGTGGACTCAAGGCTCCCTGCCCTGCTGCCCTTGCCTAAGGGGCTTCCATAGCTCAGTATATGCAACCTATCATGGCAGGGCAAAGCAGGGTAGGGACACTCATTGCCACTGCCAGAAGCCCTGTGCCACCATGGCAAGGTGCCCACATGGTAGCAGTGGTGGTGGCATGGAGTTGTGCCTCCACTGCTGCCAGATGGACAGGGGGCACCTCACCGTGGTGGCATGGGGCTCCTGGTGGTGGCACCAAGCCTCCCTACCCTGCTTTGCCCTGCTATGATGGCTTGCACATGCTGGGCTGTGGAGACCTCTGGGGCAAGGACATCTGGGCAGGGAGCCCTGAGCCTACTATAGTCAGCCCACACCTCTCCCACCCCCACGGGCTCCACTCCAGCTGTGCTGCCCATGGGGGAGGGGGAACTCTGCTCTGGCTGAAGCAGCCACCACCTCCCATGGTTGGCAGCCAGGGGTTGGGCACTGGCTCTGGCGGGCAAGGGGCTACGGGTCATGAGTGAGGAGCAGCAGTAGGGCTGGGGAGTTGGGAGTGAGGGGCACTGGCAGGGCAAGGGGGCTGTATGTTGGAAGTAGGTTGGGAATCCCAGTAGGACTAGAGAGATGAGAGGTTGTGAGTGGGGTTTGAGTGGCACTGGCAGGGCCAAGGGGACTGTGGGTCAGAAATGAAGGGCACCAGCAAGGTGGTGGGGGCTGTGAGTTGGGAATGAGGGGCACCAGCAGAGGCAGGGCACTGGAATATTGGGGCTGCTCAGCACCACAAAGCAAGGCGGGTGAGGGTGTGGGGAGAGCCACAGCTGGACCCATATCTTGGTGAATGAAGGGGTAGGGGGAGCTCTGATTTTCTATTATAAAAGAAAACAAAATCAAACACCAAAATATATAGGTATTTAGAATTTATCGTGTGTGTGTATATATATGTGGCATTTCATTTTAATCATGGAAAAACACAGGTTTTAAATCAGAGAATTTGGGGGGCAGTTAATCAGAGAATTTGCAATTTTTAAACAGAGAAAACCCAGGATCCCTGATAATGACCAAAGTCTCAAAACAAATAAATATTATGATATGGACAGCCATGTAAAAAAGTATAATTTGATATGAACACATCATATGCATAATACAAGCACAACGCGCATGATTCAAAATGAGGCATATAACCTGGTTTACATTTTTGTAGTTACTACTTTTGCAGTTGTATAGTTTCAACTGTGCAATGTAATTGTCCAGTAAAAGTGACCAAACCTCTTTTAATTGCTTTCCTTGCTGCCAAAAACTGAGGATTATTTATATCAGATAGCCAAGGTTTAGCTCCCCGGACATGGGTTATTTTAACACTGTTAGAGCTCTTCCGTTCAGCAAATTTCTTGGTCAGATAGTCTGTCACCTGAAAGAAATAAATGTGTGCATAATAAAGTCAATTGTGTTTGTGTGTTTTAAAATGGTGACTTGGCACAACAAACTCATGTGGGATATGGTCAAGCCCAAGCATCCCACTGTTAGGACACAAACTGAAAGTGAAATGTTAAGAGTCTGGGAAGAGAATCCCAGCTACACTGTTCCTGTATTGCCATCAACCATCAGCACCTGAACTGGCTCACTTACAGTCTTTTGTTGCCCATTTTTATTAGCAGGTCCTATTCAGAAATAAGGTATATACAAGGGGTGTCAAACTCATCTGGGCCTGCAGGCTGGAGGAGTGGCACGGGGCCAGTCCATGGGCTAAATTATGCCCGTGGACCTTCCTGCCCTCCTCCCTTCCCTCCACGCCAGATTGGGCACATTTTGGCCAGTCCAGGACCATCCTGCATGCAGCCGTTCTGGACTGGCCGGGAGAGGGCACTGCGTGCAATGTGTATTCGAAACGGACTAGAATGAGCACCATGGGCAGCACCGGTCCTGGAGTGAACTTCACATGTAGTGCAGACCTGGACCAGCTGGAACAGGCACTATGTCCAGCGTGGACCCCAGAGTAGCTGGACCAGGCACCACATGTGGCACATGTCATGGACCCTGCCTGCAAGGCCAGTCCAGCAACATGTTGATTAATTCAGATCTACAGGTAGCACCAAGGGGGGCTAGATGATGGATCCACGGACTGGATCCAGCCTGTGGGCCTTCAGGCAGGATCCTTTCCCCCATGCCTGCTCCCAGGCTGGAAGGAAAGTGATTACAGGCCTTCTAGATAAAAGCAGGAGATGTCCATGCCACTGCACTCCTTCTGGAGTCAGTAGTGTCAATAGGACATTGTACATATTGTTGCATCTTGAGCCAAACAAAAGCTAAAGACAGCGTATTGTTTGCTGAAGCTGGTAGTTTCTGTTAATCATCCTATTGCAATCATATGTCAAAGCTCCTGAAAAAAATTTCATTTGATGTGAATTAATTGGAAACTCAGGGCTTTTCACAAGTTGTCAGATCAGCCACTCAGATGGATAAAGTTCCAATGTCCTCTCATGCAGGCAATAAAAAACTAGAGACCACTTTCTCCAAAGGAACATTGGTACAGTGTGGGTCAATGCGAGAAGGGATACATGAGGAATTAATAAAGAATAGGTCCATAACTCTACCTGTTTCTCCACTACAGAAGGCTTCATGTTTGGAACCTGACGTATTGAAAATTTTACAATTACTTTTGCAGGGATTACAGTCTTAGTTCCAGGTGCAGAAAAAGCTCCTGTAATTCCATGGATGGAAAGAGATGGATAGCGTGATCTTCGAAGTAATAATTCTTCCTAAAGATGTGAAAAAATGTAAATGCATCAAAGCAGAGGTGGCATGTAATTAGCTAGCACTTCATGTTATTTCACAATGACAGATCACCTAAATTATTCCTAGACAAGTAGCAACATCGGTATTATTATTCACGCATACATAGTCAAACTGTGGGTTCTTTAAGTATGCTATATATAAATCTGCCTAGAGATTGACAATGCCAAATCTTCCATGACTTGTTTTTTAAAACCAATTTATTATAGCAAAATGAAAGCGATCCATTTATTAAATCATAATATCTATTATGTGTGAAGATGTCCAGCTTCCAAGCATTTAGCTTTCTGCAACTATAGAAATCATCTTTTCAAGTCCATAAAAGGAAATCAGTAAAAAAAAATCTCACATGTAAATGTTAGGTTTGATAGCTATTTTAACTACACATTTTATTGTGGTATTTATGATATCAGATCGAGCTAGAAATTAGCTTTCATAACAAACACACCACATCTGATACAGATTTTATATTAATTTGACATCTAATTCCAATCAGTATTTTCTCATTTTTATGTGGGGCACACATGTTCTATTAAGGTTAATGGTGTTAGAATAGAAGCGATATGAAAACAAAACAATGGCCAATACTTAATGAATAAGTTAATTTGAAAGATTATTTAAGCAATGTTTTTGTTGGAAAAATTACATTCTTAAAATGAAGAGTGATTTTGTAAAAATCCATGTCCAACCCCCTTTCCTCAAGAGTCAGGGCTTTTAACAAATAAAAGAATTGGTAGTAGGCCCAAATTCTTTTCTCAGTTGGATGGGTATAATCCTCATGAAAACACCTGTTTTACCAAGAACAGAATTTTGTCCTTGGAGTTCTGGCAATATATGGATCTGCCAAAAAGTGAAACTATTCTTGGCAACCATTACTAGTAGTAGCATTGGTGCTGCCTCTACAATCATCATTATTTAATACTTACAACAAAGTTTTACACAGAAAGCATTCTGTTAGTTCCACACACAAGGCATTGTTCATGCCCTGAGTAGCTTGCTAAACCCTAAGATTACAAATTACACAAAGGTTCTCAGAAGAATGATAGGAAAATTAATGCACAAGCTTCCTCATACAAAATCACCCATTTTAAAGTGGAGGTTTTTAAAAAATAAACTGATAACCATCAACTGGTTGACTTAATATACCAGTTTTAACAGAGGTGGTGCTTGAGGAGAGATGTGAAAGGACCATTGATCTGAGGACTTGATTCAAAGTTCAGTCAATTCATTAGAGAGTTCCATTGACTTCAGTAAAACACACAATTTGTTATTCCAACTGAAAAGTCTGAAACCAGTCCAGGAAAATTCTATTACTAAAATAAAAATATAGATATCATATAACTTAGTTTTGTAAAGAAAGTGTTTTATTCCATATTTGGCCTTGATCTGATCTAGGTCATATTCATTTCCTTCATAGAGTTTCTTCTCTTTTTCTGTGAGAGGAGCTACAGCTTCATAAATTCCAGGGATCAGAATCTGCCCAGCAGAATCAACAAGACTGTCTGGAAAAAAATCCAAGTGACTTTGAAGTGGTTTAGAAAGATAATTTTCATGTCCACTAAACACTACAGGGATAATAGAAATCTGCAAGGCATTTTTGAACAAAGCTGTTTCAAAACTCTACAGAAATTGTTTGTGCTCCTAATACTCTCTGTGATCTTTCTGTTAGCTTTCACTGGGTGCGTCTACACATGCATTTACTCCAGCCTTGATTTGCTGTGCAGTAAACTACTGCACAGTGGGTGCGTCTACATGTTCATTAATGTGCCTTAGATACTGCACATTTAGTTTAGTACTTCATTAATAACGTAAATGCATAGTGCCTAGAGTTACTGCTCAGTAGCACTAGCACATGGTTATTTAGTGATGCTTACTGCATATTAGCCTAATAACGCTACGCAGTAGCCTATTAGCACAGTTTTATTAAGCTAATGCACAGTAATCTCATATAGACATGCCCAGTAAGGATTTTTGGGTAGGTGTCTACACGTGCAGCAATTAGGGAGAAAATTTTGCGCCAGGTCCCTACAATATGCTCCTGAGGCCACTGGGGAAAACTCCAGGGTCTGGCTACAGCTGCCAGCACCTGGCAGCCATCTTTAGAAGCCAACTCCACTCTCTGCTCTCTGGGAAGCCCCTTCCCTGCCCAGGAGAACTGTGTCCAGCACAGGGGCAACACGTGGCAGCTCCCTCCTTGCCCACTCTGCCTCCCTGTGCCATGGCTACTCTATCCCCTGCCCCTGGCAACAATGACCAGTATCCTGTGCTCCTGCTGGCCATGGTGCTGACCCTGCTGGCCCTAGCAGGCACCCCCCACCCAGGCACCCAAGAAAGCCATGCACCCACCAGTGGGGGCCAGGGCACCAGGTATGGGAGGCCCTGGCCAACCACCTCCTCCTGCACTCCCTGCTCTAGCCCACCTGCACCCTTGCCCAGAACCCCTCCCACCTCCCCCTGCCCATCCCTTGCACCATGCTCACTGCAGACACATGTCAGAAGAACTAGTCTTTATTTCCCTCACATATAACAGGCCTCCCTCTCCCCTCCCTTCCCAACACACACAGTCCCTTCCTTCCCTTTCCCTCCCACACACAGCCCCTCCACCACCCACCCTTCCCTCCAACAATAAAAAACACTCTTCTCTGTGGAAACTACATAGAAAGTATCTTTTCTGTGGAGTCCCAGAGTGGGGGCCCAAGGGGTGGGGCACCTAGGGAGCAGAGCCCAGGGACAGGTGGCCAGTACCCTGGCCTCTGGCCATTCCCCTTCCAGTCCACACACCACAATGACTTCAGCAGGTGAGGGGTCCACCCAGGACGAAGGCATCCAATGCTCTTCCAGGGTGGGTGGCTCCCCCTCCAGCTGGTGGAGTCCAGGCCCAGCAGAGCTGATGTCCAGGCCTGGTGCTGCTCCACACAGCTCTGGCTCCACTCCTGCATGAAGCTGGGATGAGCGACGGGCCGTGGCCAAGGTGGCTAGCAGTGGACCCAAAGCGGGGTCCAGGCCAGGGGCTCCTGCAGGTGGGCGGTGGTGGAATTCCTCCTCCCAGGCCCAGGTGAGAGCCTGCTTTGAGGTGGCAGGTAGCTTCCAGGGGGGCCACTGGGTTAGGGCCAGGGACCAGGCAGCAGTGGGCACAAATGAGACTGCCAGGCCCAGGATGGTGTCCAGCATCTGACAGTCATGATCAGTGGCCTGCATGGCTCCTCTTTCAGGCTGGCTGCTCTGCTGTGCTGCTGCCCAGACCAAGGTGCTCAGGCTCCTGGATAACTGGAACCAGGAGTTGCCCATACCCCCACCCTCTCCTCAAGAATCTCCTCTGAAAAGGCACCCTGGGGTTGGCACCCTACTGCACAGCTGCTGTGCCCTGAGTGAGCCCCTGCTGCGTATGCCTCAGCTGGTGCACAATGAGATGTTTGTGCAGGATGAGGGGTGTCTGACCCATTATGCCCTGCTGCTGCTGCTGATCTTCATGGTGCCCCGGGTGCACCTGTGCTCCTGGTACAGGACTGTAAGCTATGATGGAACAGGATCCCCTGTCCCTGCCCCCCACTGCCCTGGAGGTGCCAGGGCAGGGCAGGGGCTTGGGCAGGCCACCCATGCTGGTATACACCATATGGCTGTGAGCTGGATTCCAGGGCACCAGAATAGAAGTCAGCTGCCACAGAAAAGGCATGGTCTTGCGGGCATGACCAGACTGTTGATTGTGGTCAGTCATGGCTACCCACTGTGTCCTCAAGGCCTTGACCTTTGTGCAACACTGCTGCACCCACCAGTTGTGCTATTGCTCCAGCATCCCACCCAACAGAGCCTCATAAATGTGGGTGTTGTTGTGCCTACCCTGCTCAAACTGGCACAGCACCTTGTTACCCCAGAGCACCTTGAAGTCGTCAACCTCCTCCTGACTCTAGTTGTGGTCCCAGGTGGAGGGCACGAGTGTGCACACATGGGCAGTGCTGGGACTGGATGGAAAGAATAAGGCCATGCTGCTGGATCCTGTGCCAGCTCTCTGGACTCCCGCATCGCTGTCCCTCTGTTGCTGGCCCTGGGCAGCTGCCAGCAGTGCCCACTGCAGGCGCAAAGCAACAGACTGGCAGCCACATGGCAGAGGCTATTCCCCACAGCACCTGCAGGCATAGGACAGGCTGCTGGGGTGTGCAGCAGGGAGGTGGTGCTGGCCCTGCTGCCAGAGACAGCCTACAGGCAGCCCTGGGGAGCTGACAGGGCTGGTCAGGGGCTGCAGCACCCTGCAGCCCTATTCAGCACCCACCTGGTCTGAAAGCAGTGCCTTGGCAGCTGGTGGCAGCTTAGTACCTGGCAGCACTGCTGGGGTGCTGGGAGGTAGGCACAGCAGGGCTGTGGCCTGCCAAGGGGGACAAACAGGGTCTGCAGTGCTCTCAGTCTCTCTGGTACATGCGCCCCAGGGTACAAAATGTCAGCAGGCTTTTGTAGCAGACAGAGGCTACCATAGACACAGCCCAGCTCTAGAGCAGGAGAGGCTCCTAGGTTGCAGCCCCCTAGTGGCTAGACAGACCTGGCAGCAAATTTGCTGCCAGGTTGCATCTACACATGCTTTAATGTGAAATTACTAAATCACACTTAAATTTGCTACCTGCATTTGCAGGTAACAAATTTAAGTGGCACTGAGGGTTTTTACAGCACAGTAAGCATGTGCATGTGTAGATGTGCATACTTACTGAACAGTAAACTAGGCAACTGCACAGTAATGCATCTCAGGTAGATACACCCACTGTAACATATAGCTGTAGTATTTAAGGAGAACCATTTATAATGTATTTATTAAGTTAGAGGTGTTCAACTTCTGTGTGGTCAGGGGCTGCACAGCCTGGAGGCTGGCATGCCTCAGGTCCCATGCTCCCTGCCTCCAGGGGCAGGAGCAGGAAGTAGAAGCTTGAAGGAATAGGGGTAGCCGGAGACCCTGGTAACTCTAGCAGCAGGTATGAAGGGGAGAGTGATATTAATTCATTAAGCTGAATAAAAACATATAGGTGTCCTGAAGTCATATTTCTGAAAAGTACAAATGAGAGACTATCTAAAATATTTCAGAAATGGGGATCATGATATACTATTACTAAGAAAGCACTCATAGCAGCTCTTTAGTTTTCATTTTCTAAGCCTAGTTTAAATATTTATGTAATTTTTACCACCACAGGATGCCATCTAATAGCTCAAAGCACTGACACCTACCAGATAGAAATCTGAGTCAAAAAAATAATTGTTGTCTTTTTGGGACAGTAAAGATTGGATAGGTACCACACTTTTACCTTGGAGAAAGTAACTTGTGACCCTTCCTTATGGGAAAAACACTGTTGACATTTCAGGGGAAGTTGCTTTTTGGAGGAAAAGTCTCCAAAAGATAGACTTATGAGAAAAGAGAGCAAGACAGAGCAAAAAAGAGAAAAAGAGAGAGAAAGTGCACTCAGACAGGGATGGATGGATGTCAATTATCCTGAGGCTCTTAGAAAAACCACTGCAGAAAAACAAAATAACTATACTTCACTTTTGAAAACTAACATTGTTTTCTTAATTAAGCTTATAATTATATTGAAATAACTAGAGGTGAGTGTATGTCTATTTTGGTCTAAATCACTTAATGGGGACAATCTCAGGAGAGAAACACGTATACACTTTTGCAGATACTTTACAGATACTGGCACTTACATAGTAAAGTGATAGGCACATTGAAGATGTCATTTGGAGATGAGACTGAAAGACTAAATTAGGTATATACAGTTAAGAGTTTTTACTTCAGATAAATAGTGCTGGACACTTCCATGCAGCAACATCCTTCCTGACTTCTCAACTTGACATTTCTACAACTTTTTGTAGCAAATCTAAATAGCACACCCTGAGATGACTAAATAACATGGGTCAAAGTATGTTTCAGTGCAAGAAACAGTAGCTGAATACATGAAAAAAAATCAAAGCAATCTGAGTAAGCCTAATTTTATATATTACACACTAACAGACTGTAACCTAGCTAACTCTGAGATAAGTGATCTCCTCAGACTTTCATAGTCTTATGGAATTATTTGTATAATGTGTTCTCACTTCATTGGTTTCCTGTATTGAGGAACCCATGTCTCCTTTACTGATTTTCCGTTAATTTAATCAGAATCCTCTTTACCAATTTTTAGTGAGCAGTCTTTTGAGATGAATGTGTTTTTTTATGAGCTTTGGTCTAAATCTGTGTTTACTAAAACAAAAGCAACTTTCACACTTATTTTGATATCTAGTCCTACTAGATAGAAATCAAGAACATCCAGTATCTTTCAGCAAGGACATACTCACTACAAATGATAATATTTTTAAAATTAAAACATCAACCTTAACACTACATTAATGTAATTGATTCCACATGCTGTAAGAACACTGAAATAATGCCCTGTGTAGCACCCTGAATGGAACTTGATACAGCACAAGTTGCTGAGGGAGGAGTTTGAAGGAGGCACCAAGTCAGTTAGTGTGCCCATAGCTAGAGTGACAGATGCAGCTGCTGTACCTCTCTGGTGATTTAACTGGTTTAGTTCATTGGTTCCCAACCATTTTAGACTTGAGGCACCCCTCACTGGACTCAAGGCATCCCTTGGATAATGCCAGCACTTAGCTTTTACTAATTTTTTGACAAGAGAAAAAGAATAGAGCAATGTTTCTGCTGCAAATACTCAGAAAGACCACAACAGGTCAAAATGTTTTTAATACTACACTATGGATTCATAGAAGTTTAGGGCTGGAAGGGACCTCGTGAGATCATTGGGTCCAGCCCCCCTGCTTTTGGCAGGAAAGACTTCTGGGGTCAAATAACCCCAGCAAGGTGTGCATCCAGTCTCCTTTTGAAGATCTCCAGGGTAGGTGCCTGCACCACCCCCACATTAGGAGACTCCGTTTCCAGTTGCTTACAACTTCGCAAATAATAACTGTCTGGGCAAAAAATATCTGTGCCAGGTAACTGTCTATGGCTAACTTTTTTTTTCTCTCTCTCTCCTTTTTATTTTTAATATTTTTGCTGGGAAGATGAAGGATGCCTAATTGAAATCTCTGGGTTTATCTTTTGTATCAGGTTTTCACACCTAACAGTGCTAACATTACGTGGCACCCTTGGAAGGATCTCAAGGCACCCCAGAGTGCCACAGCATCTTGGTTCAACATAACTAGCTTAGATTAACAAACAGTTCTGTCATATTCTGATTCAACATGCAGCACATGAATCAAATAATACTGGGGCTGTCGTGTTAACAAATAAACTAAACACAGACTGTGTTGCTTTAAAATAAATATAAAATAAAATTCTGCTACCTTCACTCACTGAGCAGTTCTTTTTTGTGAGTATATGAAATAGCCTAATTTAAATGAAGTACACAGTCTAATGAAGGAAGCAGTCTAATTTAAATTAATCTGGCTTTATATAATGAAACTGTATCCCTAAATGAAATTTGAAAATTTGCCTACTACTTGTCTGGAATGGTTTAGATGAGAGTGAGTCTGCCTTGACCAGAGCTTTGGACTAGATAACTTCCTGAGGTCACTTCCAATCCGATTTTTCAGTGATTTTAAACCAGAATCCTCAGGCCTTAGTAAAAAAAAAAAAAAAAATCCAATCAGAACGAATACGAATTTTGTCTGGTAATGTCAGGACTGAGTTCACTACATTTAACTTGTGTGTTTTATGTTTTTGTGCCTTAAATTAGTTCGTGAAAGCAAGGGCAATATCTGACATGCTTTGAAATGGAACGAGACAGACATGGAACATTACATTTCATATAAGATAGACTGAAATGGTACTTACTTAACAGAAGTATTAAGTCATTCATTGCTTCCTGTACTATTCCTCCAAAGCCTCCTGAGTGCAAATCTTGGTTAGCACATTTCACCTACAGAACCAGGGTAGATTAACGCACTTAAATTTTTCCTTTGAAAAAACAGAGGTGAGCCTGCCAAAGTTTTCCACTGAAATCAATAAAAAGTAATTAAAATCTATGGTAGCTCTGTTCCAAGATATTTCAAACATGTCTTTACAATTCAGATCCCATTGTTGTGTTTATGAGATGTTCATGTTTATCACTCAGGAAAAATAGCATATGTACAAATGCACCTGTCTTTAAATACCATGCATACAATTTACAATTAAGAAAAAGAACATTATCCATTTCCTTCTTCCAACAATGACAGAATAGTTTGACAGTTTTGAGAAATCGAGCTAGAAACCACTTTATATTAGAAAGGGAGACAGATATTTTAACATTTAATGGCAGTTCACACATCTTTAATCAAAACATTTTTTTAGATAATCAAGAGGAAATGTTCAGCACAACAGTTACGTGCTCAATGCAATTTTTCTTGTCCTGCCAGCAGTCAGTAGAGGGGCTGGCTCTGACATTCTGTGATATCACCTTTGCTTTACTAAAAAAAAAAAAAAAAGTCTGGCATTTACATAGCTAGGAAGCTGACATGCTGTGAAGTATCTGCACAGTACTAGTGTTCCAACTGTCTTTGCAGAGGCTGAGGGAGAAAACTGTTCTTGATATTAAAGTAATATTTTATGCAAAATAAAAGGTACTTGGATTAAAATAATATAACGTGTTTTTCCTTTATTTTCTTTAAATTAATAATTTATGCCTTTCACCTTTTCCACATTATCAGACTGTGATTTTTTGTCTGTTTTACCTCAACAATTAACCTTACCAGTGATCAATCCAAATCACTTGTATCTCATGATCCCAGATAAATTCCTACAAGAATTGAGCATACAGGAAATCCTTAATTAATTAGCCCATGCTTGTAAAGTCCTTTGAGAATAAAGGCAGATATTGTCTCCCCAGTTAAATTTAGGCGAGTTTGCACTGGTATTACTGAGAGTATAATTTGACACACAAAGCAATTACATGTGACCTGTCTTATTATTGTTATTTCTATGTGACAGTATTAAAAAGCAGCAATTCTTTCAATTCAGCATTTAAGTTCCTTCCAAACACAAAGGAAGGAACATGGTATAATCATCATACAAATCTATGACTTTAAAGATGTCTGTATTTTCTAGGGTTGCTGGCTGTAGCCATATTGGTCTAAGGACATAGGTAGGCAAGGTTCTTTGGGTAAATGTGATATCTTTTATCAGACCAACTAAATATTTAATGTAAATATTTAGTTGGTCAAATAAAAGATATCACATCTACCCAAAGAACCTTGCCTGCCTATATTTTCTAGGGCTATTACTTCATGAACCTAAATTCATATGAAGCTTCTTTAAGACAATCAGCTAATATTCAGTAGTCAAGTAAAAAAAAACCCCAAACCTGTTTACATACTATACCTCAAGAAAGAAGTAGCTGTTTCCTCTTGTTCCGTATGTAATACCAGGTTTGCTGCTGAGCCAAGGGGTGTCAGTGACCACAATGTAATCAACATCAGAAAAAAATGTTGTGTTTTGTTGCTCAAGTAGTGCAGGTAACCCTTGGGATCCTACGTCTTCCATGCCTTCAAGCAGAAACTTAACATTAACCGGAAGTTCCTGTCAGAAAATGTTCCAAACAGAATCCTAAGCAACTGGTTACGTGGTTAAAAATAGTGAATTTATCGAAGAGAGAAGGGAAATGTCACATCATGTACCTGAAGTGCTTCAATTGCATTTAGTATAGCCAGAACTTGTCCTTTGTCATCAGATGTACCTCGGCCATAGAGACTGCCTGGAAATAAAATGGAATGAAATTAGATGTAATAAAGACAATTCCTATTAGACAGTGCGGGCCTTGGGGCTACACAGATACATAGTACATTGCCCAAGTCAAAAGAATCCTGTTTGGCTTTCAGAACACATGCAGACTTCTGCAAGGGCACATACAGGAAAACCATTAATGCAGGGGGTACTTGGGAAGGCCCTAGGGGGGTACACGTGGGCAGGCGGGGACAGAGCACTGCCACCCACCACCCTGTGCTACCTCCTCCCAGGAGCAGGGCCAGGGCAGGGCAAGGCCAGCAGCGCCCCTCTGTGGGCTGCACAGACACTGCCCAGCCATTTGGACTCAGGGGGTGGGGAGAAAAATTTCATGCACCGCTGCCATCCACCACCCCACGCTGTCGCTGCTCTGCATCCAGCTGCACCTCCCCCCCCCCCCCCCCCCGGCACCTCGTCTGGCCGCCAGGGGTACACTTATTTTAAAAGTTTGTAAACCCCTGCATTAATGTATTTAACAACTGACTACATTGGATACAGAAATCACTGAGATGCAATAAATAACTAACTCCTAGGGAATCAATTTTTAAAGTTAATTATATTTTAAACAATTTATGAAGAGAAAATCATAATTGAATTCATACTATATCCACCTTTTTTATTGCCATCTCACATACCTTTAAGGCAGTGTTTTAACATGTTGTGCCTGTAGATCAGCGTTCTACATGTGCCACAGGAAAAAGGAACCTCAGTCAGGACTGTTTGGTCCTGAAGTATTAAATATAACTCTATCACTCACTCTTGGCCTTTACAAATTCCAGTATCTGGATTTTTAATTTAAAAATGATGAAGTCCACATATACCTATTTGGTGTTTGCTGTTGGGAATTACTCCCTTTGTACACTTGCTTCTGATAAATGTTCTATGTTACACTATAATAAGTGAGTAGAAGAAAATGTATAATAAGCTGAGCAGAAGAGGCCAAAGAATGCTTTTTCCTAATGCTGTCTTTCACACACTGATAAAAAATAATATAGCAAAAACAATATAAGTGTAAGTGTACTAATATAAATAACAAAATAACGACAAAGGTAAGTGCCATGTGTTGCACTATGTTCTTGCATAAGTAGGTGCATCACAAACAGGTCTTGGAAGGTGATACTTCCCCTCTATGTGGCATTGGCCAGACCATAGCTGGAGTACTGCATCTAGTTTTGGGCGCCGCACTTCAGGAAGAATGTAGATAACCTGGAAAGGGTTCAGAGGAGGGCCACCCATCTGGTGAAAGGCCTACAGGACAAACCCTACAAGGACTCATTGAGAGACCTGAATCTCTTCAGCTTTCACAAGAGAAGGCTGAGAGGTGATCTAGTGGCTGTCTACAAACTCATGGGGGGGACAGCAGGAAATAGGGGATACAATGTTTACCAGGGCATCCATCGGGGTAACTAGAAACAGTGGCCACAAACTGAAGGAGAGCAAATTTAGATTGGACATCAGGAAAAAATTCTTTACTGTGAGGGTTGCCAAAATATGGACTACACTTTGAAGGGAGGTGGTGCTGTCCCCTTCCTTGGAGGTATTTAAGAGGATATTGCACAAGCACCTGGCTGGGGTCATCTAAAACCAGTACTCTTTCCTGCCCACAGCAGGGGGTCAGACTTGATGATCGAATAAGTCCCTTCTGACCCTTAAAATCTATTAAATCTATGAAATACTATTTTGTGCTGTTATTTTGCCCAGCCCAGAAGTTGTCACAGACTCAGAACATCTACCCACAGAAATCATTCATCAAAAAACAAACTTTTGAAACAAGGGAGGTTCAAAAGTATAAATGGCTGAAATCTGTATCCTGCCCCAGAATGCTCCTGCTACTCTGACTGTGAGAGACTTGTAGGGCCATAGGAAAGTAGATCTGGAAGGGACCTCATGAAATTATCTAGTCCAGCCACCTGTTCAAGGCAAGGTCATCCCTGAATAAACTATCCCATTCAAGTGGTTGTCTAATCTGCTCTTGAAAATTCTCAGAGATGGAGATTCCACAACTTTTCTAGGTAGCCTATTCCAATGCTTAAGCATCCTCATAGCCTGTCATCTGCTCTTAATATTGGGTACTCAACTAAATACACCCCTCTCTTCTGGGAGTTGGCTAGAATCTCCAGTCCTTTCCCTTCCACTCTGACTTCTGCCAGTAGAGCATCGCTGCTTTTCAGTCATCACTATATTGTCCTCATTCCTCCTCAAACTCCTGGTTCTGTTATCTCTTCTTTTCTTCTTCTGAAGTTAACAGTAGATCTCTTCTTCCTTGCTAGTCCATCTTCTGTTTCTGCCTGGTTCTGTTCTTTGTTTTTTAGTTCAGAAACCTGTTCCTCCTCTCTATTTCTCCTCCATTTGACCATTTCTTCCTCTGATTTGATGTCATGGCTACGTACTTCCATGGTTCACCCTCCTTGACAGGTCTGCCAGCCAGGTCTTCTTGTTCAGCAAGTGTCTTCAATTTATTCAGCTATATACACATCTTCTTTTCTCTTCTCCATCAGAGCCTCAACACCACATCTGCACTCCAGCATTCTTTCTAGCTGCATCCCACGTCGTTGCATTTTCTCTTCCATGAGTGTGTCAGGTGACTCCTCATGTATATAGAGCAGTCTTCAGGTACCAACCTAAGGATAATGAACTATTTCTCCCTCAAGCCCTGCTTGTTATCTCTGCTATTTTTCAGACTTCTCTGCTGCTGCTTTACTCACCATCCTTCCTATGAACTTCTACACAAAGACAAAACTCCCTGTTTGCTGCCCTTTGGTCATCAGGGTCTCACTAGTTGTGGCCGCTTGGCTGTTCAACCTCTTTTCTTCCAATAAGCCCCACCCTTTCATTTAGGCTCAACTGTGATCAAAGGCTGGGATCATGCAGGAATGGGTCTTTCAGGGTCTCCAGGCGACTCCGGATACACACCCTGAAAACTCCACACTGCAGATGAGTTCTTTTGTATATGGCTTGGCTAGTGCCGCACGCCCTTAAACGGTACGCTTCCTCCTCGGGGCACTCTCCTGCCATGACTTGATAGTAATAATTGGAGAATTCTCTCCCAGAGAGGGAAAAACTGGCTCTACCATCAGGGCTGTGTCCAATATTTCAAATAATCAGTTATGACTTGTAACAGAGTCTCACAAGCCTTACAGGGGGCTCCTCCAACCCCAGTACCTACACCACAGTCCTCTGGGTTTAAGTACAGGCTCCTGCTGTTAAGGCATCACAGCTAGGAGCAGGTCTTGGTACCTTCCTGGATGACTCCCAGGAAGCATCTGCAGTCCATTAGAAACAAAAATACAAAAATATGGGCTAAGGTATTCCTCATCCCTGGCCTCCATTGCTCTCCAGTGCAGGGTTTTTCTTCTCACTACTGCTTGTGTCCTTTTGGGCTCTCTGTCCTGCACTTTCAGCCTATCAATGCTTGTTTCTGGTCCCCAGCTGTAGCTCATCTTTCCTGTATTGAGGGAAGACACCTGGACTGAGTTAACATCAAGTGACTCATCCCCTGAGGTTATAAACAACCTGAGCTGTTCCAGCCCCATCTTAGTGTTTCCAAATAGGGCCTTCCCTTTCCAGGGGTTCTGTTTCCCAGTGGGAACCTTAAGGAGGCTGGACCCTCTCTGTGTTCTCCTGGGACTCTCTGTAACACAGGCTTTCCCCGCTAGGATACTTCTCCCCTTTGGTTGAGAATGCTCTTCAGGTAAAGGTTTAGTACTTTCTATGTTCCCTGACCTGTCTAGGGGCTTCTCCTGTTTGCCGCCTCTGAGCAGGCTTTGCAGTTGCCCTGTTTCAACCGCTCCTGTGACCTTGCCCTTTACTGTTGGGGATGTTTGATTTCCAGAAACTAAGGGAAAGGGAGCGAGCATCAATTTTCCTCCTCCCACTCTCCCTACCCTACTATACATACCAACCAAGGAGCAGGACACTCTCTCTCTTACTGTAGCTTTAGGGGTAAAATTCCCCTAAGAAGCTAGGGGACTTAGGATCCTAGATCCCACTGACCATAGTAAATTTAGGGCCAGTTAACCTCTCATATCTGTGACAAATATAAATGCAACATATACAACCTAAATTTGGACCAGGATCTTCTATGCAACTATTTTTGATAAATTTTTGTTTCGTATATAAGAAAAGTTATAAGCTTTTAATATGGAAGTGTTTTACAGACAAGGCATGCAGATAATAGAAGGTTTTCTCTTTTACCTAAACAAGCTATTTGCTTCTATGTTAACCTGAATGGATTTCCCTTTTTTATTCTTTCACAGATAGGGAAGCTGCCTTAATACATAAAGGGTCCAACTGTTGCTGCAATAAGCCAAATGCTGAAGCTGTCTCTTTGTTGCGTATTCTTCAAGCAGCCCAAGTACTTACTGTTTTTTTCTGTTAATATATATGGGTCGGTTAACCATCCATCCTCAATTTTTGCAGGCTGTACATCCAAATGCCCATAGAAACAAACAGTAGGTTTTTGGGGGTCATTTCCAATGCTCGCAAGAATAACTGGTGCCAAAGATTTTATGTCCATTGGGTAGCTAAAATAAAATGTACTTTATTATATAAATTAGAGTGATTTTTTTCAAAACAAACTGCAGAAAAGAAAAGGGTCTTAGGAGCATGCAAATCATTTTGTTGCAAGACGATGATCTGACACTGGTCATATAATATGAAAGCCAACACAACTGGTGAGTACACTGCCTTGGTTTGAGAGCAAGGAGTCCTGGGAGTTCAAGTGGCTGGAGATAGAAGCTGGCACTTGCACCTACGTTCTCCTACATCTAGCCCTCAGGAATCAGGAAAAGTAAATCTGTTATACCAGCTTTTTTAACCCCCTGGGTTGCAACCCAAAAGTGGGTCACAAGAATATATGAAAGAGTTGTGAGCAAACTTTTAAAATGTATTCTTCTTTAAAAGAGAAAAATGTGGGAAACTGTGGGTTTTCCCTTGCAGGCTGGCAGAGTTCCAGCCTTCAAGGAACTCATCAATCTTAGGGCCCCCAATTCCCCACCCACACCCCACCCTTTTCCCCACAGACTGGGGGCTGTTTTATACTTTGTCTATTTACTGGGTTGACTGGTCATCAGTGTTTACAAATGGGTCCTATGGGGCAGGGAACCTGCAGTGCCTGGTGAGTCAGGGCTTTCATTTTTGAAAGAGCTGGGACTGGGTGGGGGATGTGACCTGTGTGATTCGGCTGATTTGGCAGCAACCGAATCTCCAAATTAGATTTGGCCAAATCTATTCAGGACAGTGATTCCATTTACCCAACTGAATCACTGTCCCCCAAATTGGCCGAATCCAAATCTGAAGTGAATACTAGCCGCTTCGCACAGGCCTACTGGATATGCCAATATAGAATACTAGATAAAGGATGGAAGGCCAGTGTGTGCCACCCAACTGGAGGTTGGGTGCTAGGCCACATATATGAAGGCCTGGTGTGTGCCCCAGGTTGGAGGCGGGGTGCTAGGCTGGGTATGGAAGGCCTGGTGTGTGTACCAGAAGGGAGGCCAGGTGCTAGGCCAAGAAACATCTGCGAGGCATGGGGCACATGTAAAGGGGCACATGTAAGGCCCTTGGCATCAGGACGGCAAGCAATGGGCAGCCTCCCACCTTAGAAACAGCAATTATATTTAAGTGAGCAAGGCTGGGGTTTAGCCCTGAACAGGTGGGTGACCAGCATTGAGACCTGACCCTAAAAGGCGAGCCTGTTACATTCTGGCACAAAAATAGTTGAGAACCGCTGTGTTATATGGTTTCCTGGCATCCCTTTTCTGGGCCCAAGGAATGAGTGGGAAGAATCCTTATAACTAGAAATTAGTCTATCCACTTCATAAATCTAATTTTTAAGTTGACAATGGCCACTGAATTTCTGAATCCTTAACCCACCAGGACTACTCTGATTGTTCCTCTGTATATAAGTGAGGCTGCTACCTTTCTAAATGTCATCTTATTTACTGGTAGAAAGACAAAGGAAGAAAACCCTACTTACAGTATTAGCTTGTTTTACAGGGCATGCTTCTTAATTTTTTGTAGCATGTAGATAACTTGCTTATAGCAGTATACAAGACCATACTATAGATAGTTTTATATTCTGAAGAAACAGAAAAAATACAATACCTCTTGCATGCCCAGATCCACCATCTCCACCGTTCCACCTAATGTCCTTATGGTCTCCGCTGCTAAATGCATCATGTTTATCACCAGTGGTCTCTTTAGAGAGTCACTAGAGTCACTTTCTATAGCCACCCAGTCTTTAAGTTTCTGTACAAGAAGAACATTGCAAGTCAGTTTCTATATGAAATTGTTTTTCTCTGAACATGGAGCCTTCCATCTGCTTTATTTTAAAAAATAGGGCTTTTGAAAGCAGGCCAATCCTGCACCGAGCTCTGTGTGGATGCAGGAGTCATTTTTCCACCTTGCTGCATTGGGATCTTATTTAATTCAAAAACTGAAATTTAAGATATACAAAGTGGCAACATGCAACTTAGGAGATCTGCTTCATGCCACATTTGTTGACAGTGACAAAAATAAGCTTCTGCTGCTTTTCGCTAAGGTGAAACAGACATCATTTTAGGAACAGCATCAGTTGTGCCGAGATGCATCCTGGCACAGTGGATCCAATTGATCGGCAAAAACAGACATCATTGTTGTCCTGAAGGGTCAGGCCCCTCCTGCTCCTGTGGGACAATGGCCCCAGGTACTGTGCTCTGACTTGGGGTGCAGCAGCTTGAAAGCATACCCCAGGAACCCGCTGCAGGGTGATTCCTCAGGTTCAGCAAGAGAAACTCCCATGGGGTTTCTTCACTCCACACTTGCAGACCGTGCTCAACTCAGGCACAGCAGTAAGATAATCATGTCTGGGGAATCCCTCTAGAGGGTCCCTGAAGACCCCCAGAAGTGCCTGACATCATTTGTAGATGCATACTGGGGCTTCAGAGAATACCTCGAGTACACAGGATCAGGTCCTGGGAGCACCTTAAAAGTGTGGGCAGCTCCAGGCTGCCTGTGCTTTCCTCCATAAAGCAACAGATAACTGCCACAAAAAAGAAACACAAATTTATACCATCTCTTGTCACGGCCACAATTTTGGCCATTTGTGGTGTGACAAGGGACATAGACATTTGTTTTCTTGGGCTTTGTGCCTCCATAAAAAAAAAAATATGGCAGCACAAAGGTAATGTCTGTTTTCAACCTAGCATTACCCTGTAAAGGCAATGTTATTGAGAGAAATTGAGCTGTATTCTGTTGTTTCTTGTGCCTCCTTAACAGAATTGCTTGTGTATAAAATTCCTACCCATTCCATGTATGGGCTTGCCCATGTGTCATCACATCAAAGACATAATTTTGAAACAGTGAATGAGATTGTACAGGGTCAATGTGAGTTTAGTTTTCCCCTCATCACCCTTAT